TTCCTCGTCATCGAATTTGATAATCTAGAGTGTTCTAAATGTCCAATGATAATCTAGAAAGTGTTCTAAATGTCCAATGACAAACGAGAAATGGTTCAAAATGTCCAATTATAATCCAGTGTTCTAAATATCCAATGATAATCCAGAAAGTGTTCTAAATGTCCAATGACAAACGAGAAATGGTTCAAAATGTCCAATTATAATCCAGAGTGTTCTAAATATCCAATGATAATCCAGAAAAATACTCTAAATTGTATTTTATAAATGTTTAATGATAAAATTTATATGTTTAAATACAAACCAGAAAATCTGTTTAAAATGCCCAATGATAAACCAGAAAATGTTTTAAATGTCTAATGATAAACCAGAAAGTTTGTTTTAAGCGTCCAATGATAAACCAGAAAGTTTGTTCTAAGTGTCCAATGATAAACTTGAAGTTTTGTTCTAAAGGCCCAATGATAAACCAGAAAGTGTTCTAAATGTCCAATGATAAATCAGAAAATCTCTTATAATTGTGCGATTCTAAACCACAAAATGTTTCACTAAAATAGACATAAATTTTGAGGACATATGTTTCGCATTTAGCCTAACGTATAACCAACCCTCCATGAGATTTAAAATGATAACATTTTGTAGTAGTTCATGTCTACACAATATTCACACTTTCTTCTTACCAAAGTTTACACATCAGTCTTGCTTACACTATCTTAGACTAAGTCATTAACTTACGATAATATATATATATATATATATATATATAATAATACTACCTATGTTATCAGACGGAGCTGCGCGTTCTCGATGGTCACGTGCCTTCCATAAAAGCGATCTTACGTGTCCTTTAGTTCCCGTATGAACAGCATCCACGCTAAGGCTTCTGGGAATCTGGTAGCGCCACCAATCGGACGCAGAAGAAGTCGGAGCTTGTCTTTCCGAGGGTTGATGAAATTCATTAAGTGAATATAGTTTCTTCGTTATGTCTTTTCCTATAAGATTGTGAAGAATTACCCTCATGAAGGGATTGACATTTAAAAACTGCTCAAGGTCTCTCCTCGGCCAACATATATAACGACAAGGTTCTACTGCCGTGAGAGTAACCTGTGTAGAAAGAACACGATCATTAGTACAACAGAAAGAGGATGAATTACACAAATAGAGATTTCGTATGGATCGATTCCAGTATCGACGCAACATGACGGAATGAAAATATTGATATTTTCTTGTAACACTTGAGTCAATAAGTTTCTGTTGCTTTTATCCAACAAACAGTTGTTCTCATGGTCTCTAGTTTGTTTGTTGTAAAGGGATCGTGTATCGAAACCCGGTTTTTAGCGTTATAAGCCCTCTCACTTACTGCTGAGACACTACGAGGAAAAACGAAATTATAACTAATCATAAAAGAAATGGAACATGGTTAAATAAAGGGGTGGAAACAAATGTTACAAAGAAGTAATGGAACATAGGTAAATAAAGGGGTGGAAAAAATGTTACAAAGAAGTAATGGAACATGGTTAAATAAAGGGGTGGAAACAAATGTTACAAAGAAGTAATGGAACATAGTTAAATAAAGGGGTGGAAACAAATGTTACAAAGAAGTAATGGAACATAGTTAAATAAAGGGGTGGAAACAAATGTTACAAAGAAGTAATGGA